TTGTGCAGAACGTGATTTGCTTGTATTCATTGCTGATGTTGGGCATTCCCTGAATATCCACTTCCAATCAAGTAGATGGATTTTAGATTGCTTTTAACCCAACTTTTAATTTATTGTAAGCAATCAGCACTGAATTGTCCTGCAAACAACTTCCATCTGTGCTTTCACAGAAGACCAGGCACACACATGGAAGAGAATCAGGCAATTGGTTTCAGCTTCTGTTGAATAAAGAATTGAGACATTGTAATGCTGAAACAAAGAAAAATAACCAAACATTTGGAAAGGTTATTTTTTTTTTTCCTAAGATTAAAATAAACCTAAAAATCATGTCTTTCCCTTTCTCCCAAAGTGCTGTGTGCCCAGGAATCAGTCGTGTGGCCAGAGTAGCTGCAGATACACACAAAGTAGGGCTCTGTCCTCAAACAAATTTTCTCCAGAAAATTTAAATGTAAAGCTTTCAGAAATCCAAATCTGTCTAAGAGGTTTTTCACATGGAAAATACCTTGTGAATGAGGTTAAAGCAGTAATTCAGCTGACATGAAGAGGAGATTTTTTTTTAAGGGACACTGCCAGTGGTTTAGTATCAAGTTCTCTGCCCAGTGATGTAGAAAACAAATATTTTACAAGGAGCCCTGAGATGATTTGAAGTTACAGTTACTACTCAAGTTCTGTGTGTGTTTCCTGTGACTCAGGATATCAACCACATGCTATGATAAGAGAGAGAACAATAGAGGAGAAAAACCTAAACATTAAATATTCAGTGAAGAACAAAGAATAGACAGACCCTTAGGCTTGCAAAATGGGAAATTTAGCCCAAGCTTTAAATGAAAGTGTGCTCACAGTAACCTGCAGAATGGCCCAAATTCAGCTTTGTCATTTACACGTTCCTTAAAAATCTGTCATAACTTGGCTTATAAATTCTAGCTATAAATTCCATAAAGCCTGTATAGAAGTCAGATTGGTTCATGGCCATAGAAAGTTTGTTTTTCCCTTTCTTGGGACTTTGAGACAAATGGTTGGTCTGTCACAGGCCACTGATGTTATTGATGCTTCCTGAGAGCAGGAGGTATGTTCCCAGTCCGAGCTCACCATGGTGTAGCTTAATTATCCCAAAAAGAGGGACATCATCCTATGTTTGGTAGGAAAATGCTCACAGACAACGAGCATGGAGCAGTAACTTGCTGTCCTGGACAGTGTCTTCTATGCACTTCTTGAGCAATTTGACATTTTTCGTTGATTTCCCTTTACAAATACAATCTTAATATTAAGCTGCAAAGGTAGTATATTTACATTAACAAGAGCTTTGTGTTTCCACAGAGTGCATCAGGGGATTTAATGATTAGAAACATCCAGCTGAAACACAGTGGGAAGTATGTCTGTATGGTGAAGACAGAGGTGGACAGTGTGGCATCCGCAGCCGACCTGATCGTCCGAGGTACCTTCCAGCTTCAGCTCCTATTAATCATATTTTCTTCCTTTTTTTTTATATTGCAGATTACAGAAACAACTGGTGTTGTAGATTACAAACCCAATCCATGACTTGAATTAGGTGATGAATGACCGTGGCTTGAATTATGTCATTCTGCCTTGCAGTTAGGGAGAATTACAGCTCAATTTTGGGATGGAGCCTAATTTTTTCCCAGAGAAATTAAGAGCTGGAGGTTATAATATTGACTTCACATCTTCTCTCACTGACAGTCCTTCAAGCCTCTGACAAGAGGGAACTCACTGGCAGCTGTGAGCCAGTTGTGAGTTGCTGCCTCTGCAAACTGAAGCGTTGGGGACTCCAGAATCCTTCCTGTGAAATGGGCAACTGCTGGCAGAGCCCAGGAGAGGCTTTGTCCTAGGGACATGCTGGAGTCTAAAGCATATAATGGAGGCTTATTCCTTTTCATTCAGAGCTGGAATGTTCACAGTTGAGCCAGAACTGTAGCTTTCTTTGCTGCTGTTACAGCTACATTTATTACAGGGAAAAAGCTTTGATCTAGAAAAGCACATTATGTGATCAGCACTTAATATATTTTTAAAATATGTCAGATATTTTCCCCTTGTCAGTGTACTGTTAGTCATTTCAACCCCCTTTGCTGGTGCAGATGAGACAAACCCCAGCATTTTTGCCAGGATGCCCAGAATGAGGATTTTCCAGAAGGCAGCAGAAAGCTTGTCTGACTGAATTGCTGCTTGAATTGCTGGTCAGATGTTGGGCTGAAAAATTGCTCCAGTGTGCTGTACAGTAAAACAGCTGTAGGTAAAAAATTGGCAGACTACAGAGATGTATTAGTAGATTAAAGGAGGACATTTAGGACTAAAGGGAAAGACAGAGGGATGGTGCTGAACAAAGGTTCTTGGTAAAAAACCAAACCCCAGTCATCTGTTCTACAATTGAGAGTATTTCAGGTTGAAACGATCAGAGTTAAGTTTAGTGAATGTAAAACAATAATTACAAGTGTTCCTATTCCAAGCTCAATTGTTTCCTTCCTCCCACGGCGCTGACAGAGTGGGAATCCATACTGCTGGTAGTGACTTCCAGGGCTCTGGCTTCACAAAACACTGCCTGTTTTTTTCATTCTGATTGTAGGCTCACCTGGGCCCCCTGAACACGTGAGAGTGGATGAAATAACTGATACCACAGCTCAGATCTCCTGGCAGGAAGGGACAGATAATCACAGCCCAGTGACCACCTACACCATCCAGGCCAGGACACCCTTCTCAGTGGGATGGCAGAGAGCCACAACAGGTAAACACAGTTCTTGTGACGGTTCTGCTGGAATGTTTTTGACCAGGGACACCATGTCCTTAGTTTCCTTTTTTTTTTTTCTTTCTGTTTAATAGTTCCAGATGTGATCGACGGGAAAACGTTCACAACCACAGTAGTGGATTTAAATCCTTGGGTTGAATATGAATTCCGTGTAGTTGCCACTAACAAAATAGGAGGTGGAGAACCTAGTTTGCCCTCAGAAAAAGTAAGAACTGAAGAGGCAGGTTAGTGGGTTCTTCTCTTTGTTTTTAATTCAAGAATCTTGAATGTTAGCAAAAAAAGGGCATGTTCATATCTTTGGCTCTTTGCAAACAAGCTTGGAATTGCCATTGGATATAAAAGCCTATAACTAGTTTGTCCATATTTTTTTCATTTAGCTGTGGGACAATTTGTGTTGCATTACTGAACATCACAGAAGCCTAACATTTAAATCCATTTAAACTGTATTTAGTATGCCAAAAGCTGCCAGTTCAGGCAGTGTTGCAGAGTCTGAAGGTATTAATGGATGGAAAGAGTTTAATTTTGACAGGGATTTTTCATTCATGGTGTTTGATCAGTGTACACTTTCCATGTAACAAGCACAAGGCTCAGAAGAACCCATCAATTAAAACCCCAGTTAACTTGGAATAAGGCCATTGCCCAGTTTATCTGGATAACATCGCTGAAAGTATTCAAGGCCTGGCTGGATGGAGCTCTGTGCAACCTGGTCTAGTGGAAGGTGTCCCTGTCCACAGAAGTGTGGTTGGAACAAGATGATCTTTAAGGTCCCTTCCAACTCAGGCCATTCTGTGATTCTGTAAGTTAACTCTATTAAAGAAATGAAGCATGTCTGCAGTTTTTAGAATTCATGAACACAGCAGACATGCTGTAGTCTGTGAGCTCTTTAGGTGCTCAGAGAAACCTCAGGCTGGCCCAGGAATGGGAAGCAGGAGGGTGAATGTGGGACAGGGCTGGGGCTTTCCAGGACTGCCCATCCTGTCCCAAAAGCATTTACCCTGATTGCACGAGGAATATGAATACAACTGGGTTAAATTGCATGAGGTTAATGTGACGTGGTCTCTTGTCTCTACACCGTGCAGACAGCTCTATGTTTCCTTTCCACAGTTCCCGAAATTCCCCCCTCTGAGGTCAGTGGGGGAGGAGGCAGCAGGTCTGAGCTGGTCATAACGTGGGATGTAAGTTTGCTGGCAAGCAGTTTTCTTCAGAGAGTGATTGTTCCCATTCAAACTCTTCAGAGCTGAATTTCCCTGGCTGCAGCAGCTTCTCCTCTGGGATGTGTCTGTGCTTGGTGCCGTGTGTGATGTGAGCTCTGCACGTTTGCCTCCCCTCCCTCGCTGCCACGTGTCGCTGTGCTGGGTGGCAGTGCCTGGGAAATTTAGTTAGTTTGGCTGGGGTTGCTTCTGTTCTCAAACAAATGTTAATGCTAAAAATGGCCAGGAGGACAGGGCAAGAGGAGGGGGGGGAAGGTTAAGCCAAAGAATTAGGCTTTACAGTGCGAATTTGCAGTTCTTGCTTTCCTGCCATTAACTCTGGATGCATGTGCTAACCAACACACTCACCTACCGGTTTATATCATATATCCCCTTCTTAAAGATTTAAAAAAATGTTAATATTCTGTTACTAACAGTGCTTACTCTGTGTGGTTATCTAATCATACATGAGAGGAAGCTTTAAGCTACTGTACTCAGGTAGTATTGGATTGTGCAATAGCTGACTGAGCAATTATTCATTTTTTATGAACTGTGGATTGATGAAAAAAAATTTATTTACTGGAGAGTGTCTTAAAGCAGAATACTTAGTGGAAGACAAAGATTATACCTGAAAATTGTTCTCTTCTTGAAGTGCAAACCTTAAAATAGGTTCAGGGAACACATTTTGCTCTGCTGTACCAGAGTTAATTGGCTGATGGAACGATGCCAAAGGCAGTGCCAGAACCTGGTTGCAGTCATGTACATAAGTCTGTTGGCACTTTATTCCTGCAAAACATACCCAGTGCAGTGTGTGGCTTCACAGATTTCTGTCTGTTGCTTTTCTCACAGCCTGTCCCTGAGGAATTACAGAACGGAGAAGGCTTTGGCTACGTCGTTGCTTTCCGCCCCTCTGGCACCACAACGTGGATACAGACTGTGGTCACCTCCCCTGACACCCCAAAATACGTGTTCAGGAATGAAAGCATCTTGCCCTTTTCACCCTATGAAGTCAAAGTTGGTGTCTATAACAATAAAGGAGAAGGGCCCTTCAGTTCAGTCACCACGGTTTATTCAGCTGAAGAAGGTACAGGATTGAGTTGCTTCCAAATATTTACTGTGAGCTGTTCCATCAGAGAACAGCAACAGTTCATAGAAATGAGATCTTCTGTTCATATGTTTATTTGCACAGTCCCCAGTTCTGTTTGTCACCTCTCCTTCCTTGGTTTCCCAATGCAGAGCCCAGCACAGCCCCCTCTGGAGTGTCTGCCACCAGCCTGTCCTCCTCGGCCATCGAGGTCTCCTGGGCACCCATTCCCTGGAAGATAAGCAATGGGAGGTTACTGGGCTATGAGGTGAGTTTATTTAACTAAAAATATTCAAATAACACCCCCCCATTTGATTTAAATAAAATACACTCCCCTTTGCAAATGGCCATGGGCCAGAAGGGTCGTGCAGGCTGCGGGACAGCCACACAGATTTACAAAAGATTGCCCCAAATCTTAGTCTTCCTGCCCCACCCACACCCAGAGGAAGGATAATTTCTTCTATTATTGCAAAAAAGATCACAGACTGAAATTGTGTTTTTCTTCCTGTGCTGATAAATAGTCATGTGTCTAACATATCTTCAAACTGACATATTTTTTCAGAATTACATTTACTTTCAGAGAAACTTTTTCATAGGGTACATTTTCCTGAGTTTAACTTGTTTTCTCTTTAATGAAGTAATGGTTTTCCTCTTGTCATTCTTTAATTCAAGCGAGATCTAATATTTCAATTTTCTTTTTCCTACAGTCACACTAAAAAGAGCAGCAGGCGTGAGAAGCAGATGGATAAGAATATTTTATTTTTGCACAGTAAACACATTTCTGAAACTTTAATGTATTTCTACCTTTTTCAGCTGAGGGGGAAAAAAAAAAAACCCCTGCACTTAAAAGAGTCAAGTGCATTGCTGTGGGTGAACAGTCCATTCCATGCAAGATTTAAATGGTTTTGCTTTTATATCTCCTAGGTTAGGTACTGGAATAATGGTCAGAAAGAAGAATCTTCAAACAGAGTAAAAGCTGCAGGGAATGAAACATCAATAAGAATCACAGGTTTGAGGAGCAACTTGGCTTATTACACAGCTGTCCGTGCCTACAACAGTGCTGGGGCTGGGCCCTTCAGTGCCACCGTGAATGCCACCACTAAAAAGCCACGTGAGTATCTGGAATTCAAAGTGGGGAGAGACTTAATGGTGTGCAGGAAAAACAGTGGCATTACTGGGAATCACACAGTATGAGTCAGTGGCTTGAATTTTTGTGCAGTCCAGGGCAGGGGTTGGTTCTAAGCACAATTAAATCAAGCTCGGAGCTTCCTCCCTCCGTGGCTCCAGCAGGACGAGTAAAACTCAGCTATGCCAGTGGAACCCAAGAAAGATGTGTAATTTCTGCAAAGAACCTTTATTATGCTTCTAATGACTGGAAGAAATTGAAAAGAAAAATCTCTGTTCTTCAGAAGGGGGCAAAAAAAAGAGACTTGTTGAATTTTTCAGCGTTCTATAACATATTTATAAGTTCTCTAGGGCATGGCTTTTGAAATGCAATGATCCTCATACAGTTCATGCAAAACAATCCTTCATGTCCACTGTTTCCCCTTGAACAAATTGCACAAGAGGCCACTTTGCTGTTACAAAGGAGAAATTAAGCTGGAGAACAGATTGTCAAAGGCTGCACTAATTTTTCTACAGTGGAAATATTTTTATTGGGCTCCTCCTCCACTGTAACACAACCCCGAGTCAGGGTCATCACTCTTGAAGGATTTCTGTCAGAGGCACGAGAACATACAATTAAATATATCTGAAAGGTCAAACTCCCTGGAATAGTCATTAACATCCTTCTACCAGAAATAGTTGTGTCATTAATATTATGAAATAAGCTAATTTATCAGAAATTATTTTAGGCAAAAACGAGTGTCAGGCTGTCACTGAGGACTAAACCAACTCAGATTTGCCAGAGTTTAGATATATTATATGCAGAGTTACCATGAATTGCTGATCTGAAGTAACTCACTGCCTGTAGCCTGGACAGGACATGTGATAAGTAATTTTTTTCTCTAATTAATCAACTTTGTGGCTGGTGCCAGCCTGGTCAGCTCAGGGATTTTCAGTCCTTTTTTAGTGGCCACCTGCCTGTGGGATGTGTGAGAACTGGACACTGGTTTGAACAGTCTGGATCAGGCCCTTGGTCAAGATTGCTGCTATTTGGAATAATTAAAAAGGAAAAATTAATTGCATGTGACTAAAGAGAGCAAAACCATTGCACTACAGTGTAATGTCACTCTGAAGGATCTTGCTAACTACCAGTTGAATTGACTAAGACAAATAATTCTCTCTGCTACTACAGCAGAAGCTGATTTTTCATTCAAAGGTGTGATTTTTAATCAATCCCAATTTCTACTTTAACTTGAATATTCGTGATTGATGTGTTTTTCGCCATGAAGGATTTACATTCCCCCACAGGGCCTACAAGGTACCTCTCAGTAACTCCAGCCATATCAAGAAATACAAATACTTCAGTTCAACTGGCAGTATATTTCAAGATTGAAAATTGAGTCCTTGACAAATAAAGTATCTTTGCTCTTATATTTGAAATATTCCTGTTTGCAAGCCCAAAATAACAGCTGGAGGTTTTTTATAAAATATGCTATATAAAATGGCAAGTGACTGGGGAAGACTTGCCTAAGTTTATAAGACAAGGTGTCACAATTATTTCATATTTAGAAAGTCTTAAAACACAACCAAATGTGTTCTGTCAGTCAATTCTAATTCAGAGAAATATTCATGTTCATGACCAGCTTTAAGCATCTGAAGAGTCTCAGAAATCCATGCAGCTATTTGCATCCTTAGCCCTGGACATGTACTTCCATGACATGATGGATCAGGATCTGACCTGGTACAGATGAAGCTCTGCAGTTCTGAACACTGAAGATTACTGGAGATTTTGGTGTCTGAAGCAAATTGGAGCCTTCTGAATCCCTTCCATAAACCAAGTGATAGATAGAGGCTTACAGTTTTTATATATAATTATTCTTCCTTTTTTCCACATGTCATCTTAATATTTTGTTGTGGATTTCAAGAATGACTCATTTCTTTTGAAATTCAGCTTTAATATCCCAGTGTGAAAACTACTCATATATGCTGTAACACTTCATTCTCAGGAGTGAAACAATCTCCTTTTACATTTCCAAAATGTGGTTATTATTAGTACATCAGGTTAAATCTTACTCGGTGCATAGAACAAGGCAAATGCTGCAAAAAATACCTGTGAGTGGTTGTTTGACTTCAGAATAATTTCTTTAAGTCTCACTCGTACATTTTTGTGTCTATTTTTGAAGTATAATCAGATGAGTTTTGATCTGACTGTTCATGGAAAGAAGGTGGGGAGTTACCTGTGGGAAGGAATTGAAATGAGGAGAAGAAAGGAAGGGAAAAAAAAATAAGAACAGGGATACAAGTGTTCAAAACCACTGTTAGTGCTTGGTACTTGAACCTCCAGCATGAAAGCACAGCCCAGTCCACCTAAGCAGCAGTTGCCTCCACTAGGTGACAGCAGCAGTAAATTGTTTTCCTTGACACATTTAGAAAAGATTTTAATCATTGATTGTGTCACCGCGTGGCCCATTTTCTGGGACACCAACCTGAGGTATCGTAAGAGGTTTGTTCTTCCTTTGCTTGCCCTGAGAGCTTGGCAGTTCCAAGATATATGAAAGCACAGCCCAAAGTATGCAGCTCCTTTGGAAATAACAGGCTCAGGTTGCTAATGAACAAAAAGTCAGTAGATTGCCTTGGCCAAAGCCCACTGTTGTTCAGCTCAGACATGAGCAGGGGCTGCAGGTCAGAATCTTGAGTTAAGAGAACAAAAACAATAGCCCTGTGAAGTATTTCTACATTACAAACATTAAAGTGAATCAAGGTAGTGTGTAGATTTGAATAGTCAGTAAGACTAAATTTATCTAACAATATCTTGTGAAGAATTTTCTTGTTCTTGGCACTGCACTAAAACTGTAAATTTTCTGTTACCACCATTGTTTTCCCCAGCTTGTTCTAATTGATCACCCACGTCCTAAGACACATGCTTCTATCTGGCTGCATTTAATGAAGGACAATCAACAGATAATTCAGCTTCAGAAATAACATTTATGTGGCATTCTGTTTTTTCCTTCCTTCTATTTTTCCAATTTAGCCTCTGAACCATAACGTGTACAAACGAGGAACCTGCATTTGAGTTGCTTTTGCATCCAAAATGTAATGACAGTCAATTGCCTGAACTATTTCCTACTGTTGAATAAATCACTAATGCCAATTAAATTAAAGTCATACTTTTATTATGTATTTGAAGCACCCAGTCAACCTCCAGGAAACGTCGTGTGGAATGTCACTGACTCCAGAGTTATCCTGAGCTGGGAGGAGGTGACAGCTCTGGGGAACGAGTCCGAGGTGACTGGGTATAAGGTCAGTGAAAACAGAGCTGAGAGCAATCCAGAGTTGGCTTTTTCTTGCCTATTTGCATGTTCAGAGGATGCACAATGTCACAGCCTTCTTACAGATTTTAATCACATTCTACCAATGTCTCATAACCACAGTCCTTTTTACCACTAATTAATTACCATTAATGTACACTAATGCCTTCTCCTCGTGCCTTCTCTTGGGATCCCACTTACCACACGTGTAACACTTGGATCTTAAAACCTGCAGAACACTTATCACATCTATAAAACTTACTAAAAATATGTAACACCTAAATATATAACACTTTAGAAGAAACTATATAATCCAAGATTTAGCCTGGTGGACACAGCTTCCCTTCCTGGCCAGGTCTATGTATAGTACCACACATATCAAACTGATATTTTTAAACCCTTTTTCTTCTTACCTACTGTGGGACTTGCTCATTTTCCTGATAGAAATTACATCTGCTCTAAATCTGATCAGCACACAAGTGTACAAGTATTTAAATATGTCATATAAGTGTAAAAGAATAGCTGAGGATGTTCTTGATAAGCTCTGTGTAGCTGGATCCCACATGATATATTCCCACTTAAAAGATTTAGGCTGAAGATCTGAGTTGTATTGGCAAGAAATTCATGTTTACAGCTTGTCCCAGTGTCCCACCACCAATTATATTATTACCTATAATAACAATTGCAATCAAAACAATATATAATACGTGTTATCATTCTACACTGTGCCATTTCTAATTAAACCTGTTGATTGATGTTACCTTCTTTCTTAAAACGTAATTCCGCACGAGAACATTAACCCAAAAAAAAAAAAAAATCAGATCTTTTCACCCCGAAAACAAAACCTGGATTCTGAGAAGCCCAGCTCAAAACTGGCAGGGCAGGTCCTAGAGGAGGATGTTGCCTGTGTTGCAGGTTTTGTACAGGACCAGCAGCCAGAGCAGCGTGAAGGTGCTGAGCACGGAGCAGACGACGGCCGAGCTGTGGCTCCAGTCCAACGACGATTATATCATCGAGGTGAAGGCCACCACCGAGGGGGGGGATGGCACCAGCAGCGAGCAGATCCTCATTCCCAGACTAGCCAGTAGGTTCAAGCTGCTTCCCCCTTCAACTTTGTCTTTTAAGGAAAAAAAAAAAAAAAAAAGGAATTAATACTTATACGTTGGGTGGTAGTAAGGTCATAAAAAGAAAAGCAATTAACAGTCTTCACGCCCTTATGCTCGACAAACTCCATCCTGCTGAACTGGTAAATTACCATGTAAATTAGTATTAAAAATGTTAACTTTTTTGCTTTTTCTCCTTTTTTTTTTTTTTTTTTAAATTATTACCTTGAAAGTAGAGTCATAGAAACACAGAATCATTAAGGTTGGAAAAGACCTCCAAGGTCACCGAGCCCAACCTCTGACCAAATACCACTTTTTGTCAGCTAAACCAGAGCACTGAAACCATTCATACAATTTCAGCATTTTGCAAGGCGTTTCTGTAGTTGAAAAATATTTACTGTGTTTTTGTAAATTTCTACTGTTTGTAAGAAGTAAAAAAAAAAAAAAAAAAACACAATAATTTTTTGCTTAGCATCTGGGAAGGGTTTGGCACAGCACACAATCATGCTTTCATTTAATCCTGACCTTTTCCATTTGTCACAGGTATGGATGCAAGAGGTTCTGGTCCATCAGTCTTGAATATCTTCAGTGTGTCCAGCTTCTTAGCAACAGTATTTTCCTTGACCCTTAATTCAGTGTTGTAATGATATATTTGCATTTGCTGCAAGAAAAAAAAAGAATTGGTTACTAAAGTGCTTTTTTAAAAAAAAAAACTGCAGTGGTTAATGCATGTTTTTCTTCTATCCTGACGTGTTTTTAAATTCTTTATATTTCACTGTAAGTTGAAGTAAAAATACCATGTAAAGTTTAGCAAATCCTTTAAAAAGGAATCTGAAATGCCTTAATACTTGAACCAAAGGAGTTTACATATTACATACTTCAGATACAGTGTAAGAGAGAGGGAGAGCAATGGCACTATGGTCAGAGGAAGAGCTTAGCTCAGTGAGAAACTCCATTTTTGCAGTGACACCGAACTGTTCTGGGGATGTTCTGCATTGTTACAATACTGTTCTACAGAGAAAAGATGGAATCAGAGAAATGGGTGTTGTCAATCAGGTAATAACACACGGACCAAGTGGCTGTTCTTCAGATAGTGTCACAACCCAGGAGGTTTGGATCAGTTTTCCTAGTGCCCTTTGTGTCAGTTATTCTAAATCTAGCGAGAAATCCCAGGTGGAAGGGAGGGAAAAGTCTCAATATGAGTGTTAGTTTTGCACAGTCCACGCTGGGGTGTCCAAGAGGGGCCTCCAGTGCTGCTCCTAAGAAATGATCTCCCAGCTGTGTTTCAGAGAGGCCTTTCTTTTTTATCACACATGTTTGTGCACCTTTTCAAACACCTGCCCTTCCTCTCCATCCATAAATTTTGAAGTTCATTTCCTCAAATCCCCACCTTATATTTCTTAACTAGGTTCTTCATTCATAACCAAATTCTCCCACCTTCAGGCTCATTTCTATTGCCCTCCCTGTGTGTTAGTGTTCCACTAACAGGAGTTCCCAGTTGGAAGCACTGTTGGAATGCAGTTGCACCATGGCCTTATGAAAAGGGACGACCACCACCTCCCTACCTTGAGATGTGGTGCTTCCAGATATGCAGCCCCAAATTATCTTGCTCTTTTATCATCTACCACACTGCACTGTAAGCATCCTTAATTCAGTGTTACAGTCAGAACTCTCCTTCCTGCTGCTCTTTAACCCATTCAAAACTATCTCACCTGGTCTGGCTCTCAGACACACCCCACCACTGTCACATGATTCTGGTAAGTTTATGGCAATACTGTAGGAGATAATAAAAAATTACACAACAGCACTTCAGGCTTGCTATTATAGAGAAATCTGTGCTTGCTTTCATAGCAGTATATTAAAGATACATTAAACCTGGTCCATTTGACTTCTGTATTTGTGAATTTAGTCAAATCAGCCTTTTAGACACCTTTTAGGGAGCTGACAACATCCCTGTAAGAGCACACATGACATAAAGCATATCCTTTTAAAGACTGTTCTTTTTAATTTCACAGTATTATTACAACACACAGAACCACAAAGGGAGAACCAGGATTAATGAAATTATGGTAGCACTGTAGAAAAAAAAACCTTGATATGCATTCAGATAGCAAATTACCTGATTAGCTCCAGCTGACACTATGTGCTAACTGTTGAAGTAAGCAAAAGCTGTATATAATGTACATATAGAGCTATAAATGACTCGTTGCTTTTCCATGTGGCAAACCAGTGTTGTTTTCAGACACATGCAAGGGGGGGGGGGGGGGGGGAGATGGAAATACAGGTGTTCCTAGTAAGTATATAGTTATGTTTCATGCAACAAAGGGTGACTCTGTTGTTTCACACAATTCTAGTCCATGTTCCTGTACTGCCATTCTCATGGAATTACATTGTATTATTTAATTTCTAGTTATATATCTCCATGAGATATGTACCAGGTACCTTGTTTCATATTGAAAAGTTCAAAATTTATCCTTAAAACTTCCAGTTGTGTGTGTATCCTATGGTTATCTGTATGCATTTTTTTCTATTGCTCTAATAAAATATTTATTACATTGAGGGATAGTAGAATATTTCAAAGTATTATTGCTTGTTCCCATTATATATTTGCACATTTGGGGGGTTTAATGCATCTAAAAATGGTTGTGCTTGAGCTGCTGAGCTCCATCTCTGCCCACAGGTTTACAGCAGAGTGGACAAAAAGCCACTTCCCTTTCCCTGGCTTCATTTCCCATCTATCCAATTAGGCTGTTTCCTCTCCTCTGAAATGGAAAAAAAACCAAACCAATGTAATTACATTGAAGAAGAGTTAGTTCTTTATAGTAATTTATTCAGTGTATCACTATTTAGCATTAAGCTGCACATCCTGTTTTCCACTGCATTTTCCTGTTCCCTACACAGCTGCATTTTCTTGTAAAGCCCAGACTTTTCAGCAAAAAACCTTCTCCCTGGTACCACAGCTTAAGCTTTTAAAGTGTGGATTCCACCTGCATAACAGGGAGCTGATCAAGGTACTGCCATAAGGGTTAATAATGATGCCAACACAAGTGTATTGAATAAATGGGGTTTTCCCTTTCAGGTGGTTGTAGGTGGACACACATGCCTTGCTGTGCTTCCCCCAGTGTCCATATAAGTCTTCTTTAAACTGATCTCTGTTTCTTCTATCATCTTAATTTAGTTAATGGTTATTTGCATTAATAAAACTGACTTGATTCTCCAGTGAGCTGGAACAAAATAAGTTGTCATTGGGAAAGTACAGGAAGAAAAGGTGAAGAGGCAGTAAAGGGAAAAGGAAAGGGATAAGCCTACCTCTAGCAAGCATTTCCAGAGCAGCTCCCGTGACTGTCCAAAATTAGCAATTCAGTCCTGGGGTGGAAAAAAAAAAAAGAAAACTAATCAATAATAATGAAAAATATGAATAACATTGCTTATACGACAGGAACTGTGGATGGTGGGGCAGGTAGTTCTGCCATTCCACTCTGAGTTGTACTTCCACCAAAACCAACAGCACTTTGGCACAACTATTATTTGAAATCTAGTAAGAAAGAAGGATAGATTTCAGTCACAGTCCTTAGTAAAGCATTACTGTAAATTGCATTGTTTTCAATTCCCTATCCAAAAGCAGAGCTGTATTCTAAAGCCTGAATTTCTCAGAGGTAGCTGGAATAAGAATTTAAAAAAAAAAAAAAAAAAAAAAAAAACCACAACTTTTTCTTTGGACAGCTTACTGTTGGATATGTTACAAATATGCAGGATCCTCTATGAATACAAAATGAGTTTAAAACTAATATCCCTTCAGCCCAAAGAAATATTGGAGATCTCCATTTTCAACTTAATTTGCCTTTCAGTGGTGGAATGCAGACGTGGGCAGTGCCTGTCAGGTTGTATATGTTATGTCTTAATAACAGGCAATAAAGCAAGCTGTCCTGCATGAGGGAGTGCATTAATCTGACAGCTCTCTGTCTGAAATAAATAACAATGGAATATTGTGAAAATAAAACGAGTTTGTAAACAGGCCCTAGCTCTTTTAGGGAAAACAGCCACCTGGATTGTTTTATATGCTAATGCTTTGAACTCCTGAAAAGCAATAAAAAGGGATATGTTTAGCAGGGATAGAACTGAGTGTGCGTTGCTCTGGTTTTTAGCGAGGCTGCTTGATAAAAAGAGGCACTTTAAATGTGGGGCTTGCACAGTGGGAGCTGCCACGGGGTGGGGGACGTGGGACATCCCTCACTGCAGCTCTGGAGATCAGTGTGCCCTCTTGGAAAAGGGATCTCCACAGCTCCCAGCTGCCTCCCTGGCATGGTCACAGCTTGGGTCTCCCTGGGAAGCAGGAGGTACAGCCTGGAAAGAGGACAAGAATTCCTCTTTTTCCAAGCTACTCCGAGCAGCCTTGGCAAAGCTCTGCTTCTCAGAGGTGCTGGTAATGTCTCACCTTTGGCTTGGAAGTGTTTCCCAAGGTCAGCTGAGGGTGTGGGCACCTCATTGACATCCTCTGTGCTGCCTCTCGTGAGGTGCATCACCGAGTTCCCCTCCCCAAAATTTCTGATATTTTCACAGACACCTTTCCTTTCATGGATCCTCTTCATCACCTGAACTGCCACACTGCAGTGTCTGCACTGGCCCTTGTTGTAATTCATGCCCTGCTCTTTGCTTGCTTTGGGTTTAAACTCTCTGGTTTGAGACTTCACACTTTGTGCATGAGAGTGTTTCAGTATTAGAATTTTGCAGGACCTTCATGTGCATCCTTCCTTTGCTTTTTCCATCCTTAAGGGTCAGGAAAACTTGATAAACTCACTTGGAATTAAATTTCCTTTCTTGAGCTCCCTGCTGATCTTTTTGAGGTCAGGAAGTATCTTTGAAAGTCTTTTTTTTTTCCCTTTCAAATGCACAAATACAGGAGACGTGCCAGTAACCCCATGCAGCATTTCTAAGACACTTTCTTCCTAATGTACCCAAGATTATTTTCTTACCCTTTAAGGGCATAATTAGTGCTGTGAGGTCTGGGCCATGCCTGCTCTCTGTGCTGTGCTCTTCATTCCAGCTCAGCCATTAATTCTCTTTGGGTGGGGGAACATCAGGGCATTGGCAAATGCTGAAAAAGGAAGGAAGGATCAAAAGCATCCTGTTAGGAGCCATGGGAAAGGGTGCAGCTTCAAGATGCTCATTAATTCAGCCCGTGATAATTTAAACTCAAAGCAACTCCTGGGACAGCGGGACATCCAAAATTACCCGTTAGGAAAGAGAAACTTTGGAGCGTCCTGTCCTTGCTGCCCTCAGCCTCCCAAATCCCACAGTCCCTGGGATGCAGAATGAGAGGAGGGACGTGGAATTGCTTCCCCTCTCCATTCCCAGCCGAGGGTGCAGGACTGGAGTCCCCCAGCAGCACACAGGGAGGGTTTGCCTGCCCTTGCAGAAGAACAGACTGAATTTTTTGTCACCTCTAGGAAAGGTGCTGGAAATGTTCCCCTGAGATGGGCGCACCTGAATGCACTCCCTGTGCCCATTCCTTCCAAAGAGGGGATTTTGACAGGCAGGAAAGGTGTCCATTGGGGTTGCTCTCCCTGGTGATTCCATTTTAGGGGATCATTCCGTTTTATGCTGGAACACAAGCAATGACCTGTTACACCAGCTAAAGACATGAAAAGAAACAAGTCAGAGAAAACAAGGGAAAGTCCAGCCTTTCGTGCCCCTTATGATCCAAATAATAAATCTTTTTCCCAGCTGAGGGCCTGTAAAGCAGTTGATGAGAAAAGGACATGTGTTTAACAAGAATTTCCCTCATTAGCAATCCAAGGAGGGCCATGCTTAAGGCAGACAAATAATTTAATTTTGTCACACTTCCTAACATTGCCACCAAACTGAGGCATTTACAGTCACACTTGTCACAACACTAATTATCTGTTTGAACAGCAGAGCTCCACTGATTGAATGAGTTCTGCAGTGAGATCATTTTATCAGCAGCATCTGATTGTCATGACTTTTTGGATATAGACTATAATGAGAGGAAATATGGCTTTGGTACCTTTACAGCAGCTTCAGATGAGACAGAGGGGAACTTCTGCAGCAGCCAAAAGCTTCTGCTCATGGACTGGAAAACAATGTCCTGGGGGCTTGTGTTGCCTTGGAAACATGAAAAATAAAGCACCATTAATTACCTATTTTCAAGCAACCAGTGTATCCAGTGCTGAGGGCCTGATCCAAGGCTAATGAAACCCTCACCCCAATTTCAGCACACTTGGACTGATCAATCAGCTCTTCTGAGCAAAGGGAGGACCGAGGCAGAACAAAGCTCTGCCAAGTTTTACTTCTGGCTGCAATTCCAGAAGGCTCCAGGCAGACACTCCGAGTGCAGTGGCTCCTCTTCCCTTCACACCCATGACTTTGAAAACATCTTCAGCTGTTTGGTTTTTTTTTTTTAAATACATGCCCTCTTTTTTTGAAGAGGTACTAACAGCTGAACTAATAAACATCAGGCAAACACACATACAAGACCTGTGTATAAATCCCACATACATATATTTTCTCCAGATTGGAAACCAAGCTGATAGTCCTGGGCACTGGCACAGAACCACGAGTTCAGCCAGACCTTCTGCTGTCATTCTTTCTACCCAAAAGACTGCCAAAATAGTCCCTACTATTATATCTTCTGTACAGTCACTTTTAAGTGTAATTAAACATTTTTAACTACAGAGCGTTTGCTGCTTTTCCTCCCATTAGTCACTGGTGCTTTGGTCCTGATTTTATAATTGGGAAATATAACTCTGTACAATAACTCCATGAAATAACTCTAATAATAAATAACTCTCTGGAATTGGTGAAAGTAGAATCAACTTCTTCTTATGGGAGTTTGAAGTTATCCTAAAATTTTCTTTTTGGAAGACTGTTCACCCCTGCTGCCAGCACAGTCCAAAGCAATCAGCCAAAACTCCAAAAGTATGGAAGGACAAAAATAATTCCAGTAATTTGGAGATCCTGCCCACAGCACAAGTCTGGGGCACAGCAACCTCCCAGGCTGCTGGAAAAGAACCACTTTCATCTTGTAATACAATGTAAATGCTATTTTTACACCGGTCCCAGATATTTTAAGCAAAAATTTGCTTAAAAAAGACTGAAAGACAATCTTTTCCTTTCATTTGCTTCCATTTCTAAATGAGCTGTAATTTTGAGTTTTCTTTTCTCTCTCCAGTTTTCCTCAGGAATAATGCCAGTGGCAATCTCCACCAATCTCTTGACTCTTTCTGGAGGTTAAGCTGACTACAAGAAAGCTGGATCAAAGGGAAAGAAAAACTTTGTTCTAGAAGCACAAAAATATTTACATAATAACAAGATAAGCCAGAACTCCTCATTTCTACCATGTAGACATGCTTGTAAAAAGGATGTAAAAAAATTAGGCCATTTTTAGTTTAACTGGGGAGGTGAGGAGAGGAGGGATTTAATAGCTCATGTAAGAGAAGAAGAGACAAAGCTGGAAATCAGTTTGTAATGCAGCTAATTGAACAGATCCAGAGTTTTCAGGGTTTCCTGCCTGGAGGAGAAGAATCTCTCAGAGTTATTTTGATGCACAAGAGGAAAAGAGAATAAAGTTTCCCACCACAGAAAATCGAGTGGGAAACAACAGCCAGAAACAACTGGATTGGAGCTCCTGGAAAACACGATAAGAGCTTTGTTTCAACTTCTCCTGAGCTGCTCTCTGAGCTCCTCAGCTGTGACCACAAATTTTGGCAGCAGAGTAAAAACAGGACTGATAAGAGATAATACAAGTGGGATTGGGGTTGGTCACTGCAGAGCAATAAAAAATTAGAGACATTTTTTCACAAGACGTTGCTCAAGAATTGGCCTCTCTTGGGGCAGCTCCAGTAAACTCAGAAAAAATGGGAAGTTCAATACACTTGTCGATATTTATTCTAATGAGTTCATCATCTCCCCTCACTGATGTGCTGGAACCAAACCATAAATGTTTCCATATCAAACACCCACTTGTTCCTGCCCTGGGAAGAGCAGAGACATCCATTCTGCACTTAATTAGCTGTCCTTCAGGAAGAAATGAGAAAGGCCATGCTTTAAATTAGACCCATCTGGTAAAGGCCTTCTTGAAAAGATGAGGCTTATGTGATGTTTTGGAGCTGTCAGAGGCAGAGGCCATCTGTCCTGACTAACTGCTGCCAGTCATCAGGATTCTGCTCTATAATGATTGTTTATATGAAAAAGGTGACTGAGGGGTCAGAGTGCTGAAATCTGAACAGGAACATCGTGGTGGAGTCTAATAAAAGCCCAGGTAAGGAGATGGGGAGTGAGGCTTTGCTTCCCAGCACCTCCCTTTCCTCCAAGGACATCACAGGGCTCTTGAATTCAAGAAAGAACCAAGATGCTGCTGCTTGTGGCCACTTTTCTACTTAACTAGAGTTTGTGCTAGAAAATGTGGGTTAGATTCAGGTCCCTCCCCAAGGGGTTTTAACCCAATATCTCTTGATTTTCATGAAGCCTCATGGATTAGAATCCTCCCTTACACCTACACCTGAACACCCAGCTGTATATTTGGGATGAAAGCTCAGCTTTTAGAGATGAAGAAACCATGATTTCTAGTCCCAGATAACTCACTAAGTGGGACCCATTACGTCCAGCCCATGGCATGGTCACAAGCCACAGCTCCAAGATTGAATTGCTGCAAATCAGGCTTGGATCTCATTTTTTACCCCAATTCTCTGGGGTTTCAATTCATTTCCAACACTCCACGTGCTCTGTTCTTTGGTCCCAGCCCAGCTGAGGTGCAGGCACACAAGTCCTGCTGTTCCCAAAGCAGCTCCTGCCTCGCTGCTCTTATCGGGGCAGCACAGGGCTGGGACCAGCTCCTAAAGAGAGGAATTGCTTACATAATTCATGATGACTCTTGTTGCCAAAATAGCCAGACAAGCTTAAAAATATAAGCAGACACTATGAGGGACAATATGCTTAAAATGTTGAATTTTATGGTAGTGGCATAGAATGGGAAATACTTGAAATTAGAACAAAAAATGTAAGGTGTTAGAGAAATGCCACACATTTACTGCATTTCAGCCATCAACAATGCATTGTGCTTTGCTTTAAAGGCAGAAGAGGATGATGGTGCCCAGGTGGTTCAAGGAAGATATCTGAAGTGCCAAATAAACATTATTTGTTGGTGAGTTCCCCTTGTACCCTCCAGGGCAGGGACCTGCCCAACAGCTGCTGTATATGGGCTTTACAGGCATTCTTTATGAGTGATAAAAGAAGTGTTTGGACAGAGAATTATGGAATCATTTGGTTTGGAAAAGACTTTCAAGGTCTTTGAGTCCAACCATTAACCCAGGAGTGCCAAAGCCACCATTAAACCATGCTTCCCAAGTGCCACATGTATATATCTTTTAAATCCCCCCGGGGATGGTGACCCCTGGGCAGCCTGTTTCAAGGTTTGACAACCCTCTCAAGGTTTGACAACCCTTCCTGGCACAACTTGAGGCCATTTCCCCTTGTTGCCTGGAACAAGAGACATCCATTTCTCTATCTGTGCAGAACACTGAAGTTTTGTGAGCACGGTAACTTGAACACAGAGAAAATGGGTGCACAGGTAAACACACCAAAGGGCACTGGAGCATCCCTGCTCCCAGGGGGAAAATATTCCTCTGAACACCTATGCTAGGACAGAACTCCTGCCTCCCAACTTCAGAACCTACTCACTTAAACAGATGAGGACAAATATATAAAATACATCCCCTGAGGCAGTGAGGGGCTGCTCTATCCACGCCAGCAGCAGAGAAGATGCTGGTTGCCAGGTTGCAGATGGACACCACACATTTTAGAAATTAAACTATAAGTGGTTGGTTGTGTTGTTGTTTTTTTTTTACCACATCAGTCGGATTTCTGTCTGTGGGAAACTTTTCCTCAGAGAGGCTCTTTTCACAGACACAGCAGGGATGGAGGTAACAGCATGAAATGAGAGAGTTTGAAAAGCAGCGGCGTGCTGCAGGAAGCCCAGCATTTGCATGTTAAGCTACATCTATTCCCTGAACGCTCAAGACACATGAAAGCAACTTCAGATTTTTGGTTAGCAGCAGATCTATTCGCTGCAGCCTGAATTTAAAGGTCAGGGATGTTTAGAGGGGTTTTTTGTTGGTTTTTTTTCTTTTTGCACTTAGCTGGAGCAGTGTTACACGGCTCCCCTTGGGAAGAGCAGTGGGAACAGCAGCAGCTCTGCCGTGCCAGGACACCGGGTCACAGTCCTGTTTGTACCAAACAGTGTCTTGACACCAGCCCCCATTCCCAGTGCCAGTGGCCCTGGTTCACTGGGATGTTGTAGGAGAGACACTTCTCTGATGCCCGTGACCTTAACAAGAGCTTTTTAGAGCTTGTCAGGGCTATGACAGCTGAATCTTTTTAGGCATGTAAGTGAAAAGCAGCTGAACAAGACCCACTGTCTTTTCAGAAAACACAGCCCTGAGGGAAGTTCGAGACATTCAAACTCAATTTTAACCTTTCTCATCTTCAGAAATCAAGCTTATTTGTGACCAGGCTGAAGGTTTCCTACCTGACAAGGCACTTCTGTGCCCTTTGGCTTCATGCCATGTGGCTGGAGGGGCTGGCAGGGCTAACACCCATCATCTCCCTCCCACCAGCACCACAGCACCACCTCACTGGCACCACCAGGGCTGTGGGCACGGATGCTCAGTGGTGCCTTTGCTCCTCATCCTCCCACGGCAGCCTGATGGATAGTCGAGCATTGCAAGGTTGTCATGCACACCACTGAGCTCCCCAGGATGCTGTTTCCTCCTTCCCTTCAGCATTCAGGAGCAGGTGAAGCAGGAGATAAAGAATAAAATGATGACCCTTGTCATTGCCTTCAAACGAGCAGCACTGATGTGGCTGCATATCTGAATATTCAGGAGAGGGGCAGACCTACACACTGGATTTACTGAGATAAATGTTGGTCTCAGCTGTTGAATTCCTGGTGCTGATGAAGGCTGCAGAATAATTGCATGTGTGCAGAGTGGATAAGAGGTGAGGGCTTGCTGTTGCCTGCCAAGAGATAAAGGACTCGAACAACTGCTGGTTTGTTTGGGTTTATGATTAGATTGATATGGCTCATGTCTTACTATACTCATGATATGGGTGAGCAGTTAAACAGAAATAGAAGCCAAGATCCTTAGACTGACCCGAAATACGCTGGGGAGCTGGTGGGAAGGACTCCTGGAGAGACTGATCCAACCCCAGAAAGCAGTGGATACCCTCCAGAGGGTTATTTCAGTCCTTCTGGACTGGACTGCTGGTGAGATGGCACATGGTCCCATCCCCTCTGAAGGTGCAGCACAATTTCTGAAGCCACAAGGGAGAAAGAGATGGGGACAGATTTGTCTCACATCCCCCCAAACAGAGACACACCCCCCGACACTGGGAGCAGAGGCAACCCCCCCCAGACTTCCCAGCACAACTGCACGTAGTGGGATTTAAAAAGACCTGTTTCCAGATGCCTGCCTTCCCCTCGTGGTACTGGCATGGTTTCTCACATAACTGAAGGAAAGCCCCTAACTTCAGAAGCATAGCATTTTAAAGACAAGTGTGCCTCACTCAGAAATCCTCCAGGTACTTGTTCAGCACTTCACTGACGGGCGAGCTCAGGTCTGACAGCAGCAGCTCTCAGGGGTGTCACCAGCGTCACACAGGGCACTGGGGACATTCAGTGGCATCACTGAGCCACCAGACTTGCTTAGCAAGGCAGAACATCCACCTGGGGCTTTGGCAGGCTCAGGTTTTGGCCTCCCAGCTCCCTTGCACGAATGCACTTGTGCTTTGCTCTGCTGCCTCCACAAGCACTGACGGTGCTGAGGCCCCTGGTGTGCTGAGAGAACACCACTCATCCTGGTGATGAACGTCACAAAATTGCCTGGGGCTTTGGTTTGGTTTTTTAAACACTCGCTGTGTATCTAGATAAACCCCTTGTCTTATGCTGGAGTAAATTTTCTGTTATCTCTGCCTGTAAACCTCCTACTCAAAGGCAGCATCTCCCATTACTGCAGTGCCTGGGGTATCTGTTTGGGACAACACTGGGCACTGTGAAGTCTCAGGGTTTGGCTCTGCCAGCCAAGAGCTCCAGCCTCAAAGGACCTTGAGAGATTCCACGTGTCTCCCTCCAAGTTACACATCTACCATATAGCACAGCACCACGGGCTGGATCAAACTGTGCTGAGGTCTGACCCAAAACAGACAAATCCACACCTGCTTCTGGCATCTGATGCTACTTTTCACCCCTCTACATTCACCTCTTTACCTCTCACCTGATCCTTGGGCAGGTGATAAATCTGTTCCTGTTCTGGAATTCAAATGCTACCAAGTACAACTGAACCTCTCCAGAACTCTTCTCCTTTTCAATACTGTCCTCTCTGTGTGGGTTGCAATATATGATCTTACATGTGGGATGAAATCAGCTGTAGCTGTCAGGGACCACCTGAAACAGGGTTTTATGCAAGTAGTACCAAACATTTCAAAACAGAGAAAAAATTCTGATATATCCATAAATGAAAATATTGCCTCTTACTTTTAAATGCATTATTCCATGAGAAATGTTTTCATACTGCATTTAAACATGTGACTCTCTCAGGATTTAGTGCACCCATTGAAAATTTTCATCATCAAAATAAGAAAAATCAGACCAGCTTTGAATCAGAGTTGCTCACCTTTAGAATTCTCATTTGAGCTCTGCTCAGGCTCTCAGGCACAAACAGCTCCACATCCTCCGACACACGAATGGTGCAGCCAGGAAAGTTTCCTTTGGAAAAAGCTGTGAGAAAAAAAGAAGCTGAATCATCACATCAGTATGAGGGAATACTGAGGAATCGCTGTCAGTCTCATTAGTGTGGGCAACACAATCATGTTTAGAGGCTAAAAAATATATAGCCAATATTTGCATCTTATAAAACACAAGTGAATTTTGTACAACCTACGACCAGCTTGGCTGCAGTGGAATTTGGGAGACATGGCTGAGGTAGGAACTCAGCCTGCTTGGTATGTGATTTTGGGCATGTTTGCAATTCATGTTTAGAATTCAATTATTTACATAGTTGACAGAAATGTAAAAGCAAATAAGATATAGAGTGGGAATATTTGTGGTTTCTTATGACAGTAAAAGAAGACAACTTCAAAACAGCTTTAAAAATGAAGGCCAACATTATTTCTAGATTTACAGCTTTTAATGGTCTCGAAAACACACACTCCAAACTAAAGCAATGATAAGCTAATGTTGGAGATGCAATACATAATATTCTGAATTAATATACATGCAAGATGACAGCCTAAACTGGGAATTCTTGTTCTGAAACCATATTGCCTTTGTATGGTCACAAGGAAGTTAGAAAATAACATATATAACATATATATGTTATATATAACAAAATAACATATAATAACATATTTCCCTATACCTACCATGGGTTATAGAAATCCCAGCCCACAAAAAGGGCACTGCAGTGACCATCCACATTATCCTTGTCTCAAACATATATGAAGCTGGGTGAACAAAAGACAAAACTGGAGGGTGCTGAGTTCTCTGTTTCATATCTCAGTCTTAACTCTGTCTTCCCATCACGCCTGCCCTGGTAAAAAGAGGAAAATGGGGCTGAAAATTACCAAGCAGGTGTTTCAAAGACATCCATAAGCAGTTCTGCTATAGTCTAATTAGTGCTCTAATACATATCATAGTGCAGACTCATCATTATTTCCTCTTCATTAGCTGCTGAAATATAATGTATCTTAAAAAAAAAAAAAAAAAGAAAAAAGAAGTCAAGCCCATTTTCCTTTTTTTTTTAATTTAAAAAAACCCCAAGAGCTTGTTTCTCCCATTACCATAACAAAGACAATAGGAATATGATTAATGCATGCCATCTAAACTATGTGCATTGTGCATTAAATACCAATGCACCATCTCAGCCTAAAGTGAACTCCAAAATTATAAAACACACACTTGTCAATATTAACAGTTGCACCAAAGGAAATGTTTAGAAAGAGAACAACAGGAGAATAAATCTTTTCTTCTGGCTGTCTTCGTGTAAATGCTGAACCCTACTCCTGTTCTTTGGAAAGAGAGAGACCCCAAGTCCACCAGAATGCACCCAGATTATTTAAAGCATGGTCTGACCTGGTGGGGAGAGAGTTCCAGGAGATATCTATTTGTAGTCACTCCTGTGAGAGTAATTGGTGTCAGCTCTACACAGCTTTCAATTAGTTTTGGCTGGTGGTGGCCCTCTCTCTGCCCGAGCACACACCTGCAGGATGGAGAGATTGCTAAAACATTGCTATTCCTCTCAGCTCCTCGGATGGACTCTGCAAGTGCTGCTCCCAGGATCCCAGCCAGCTCCTGCTCAGCTGATCCATGTCCAAAACACAGCCCCAGCAACACAGAAACACCTCAAGAACTTGGTCTGCCCGATGCTGACACGTGTCCTTAGGAACAGCTCTGTCCATTGGACACACCTGATAGAGTCCCTGCTGGGATAAGCTGTGCCAGGGACAAGGCTGTCTTCAAGCCTGAGCCTGTGGTCCAAGATTTCCTTGGTGGTGGTGCAATGTCTCTGGTTGTTCAAGTCAAACAACTGGGGCACAGCCTGCCCTCTCTGCTGGCAGCACATTCCCCGGAGAGGCCTTACAATAATTTGGGAGATTGGGTGACAGACCAAGGACCCAGCTCCTTTCCCCCATGCCTACACACACTGGACACCCATAAAAGAGCATCAAGAGTCGCCACAGCATCCCTGAGATAAAACATTCCCTTTTCCACCTCAAAATTCAATTCTCCATCAAATGTTGAAAATTAAGATGAACTCACCAGGGGGAAGAGCAGCTGAGGAAGGAACATTTTTATGCCTGCTTGGCCTCTGACAGCAGCCCTTTAATTACAGCACATGGCAAGTCTTCAGCAACTCCCTCATCATGATCCCCCAAACTCAAGTCAAAGCCTCTCTGCAGCTCCACCTTCTCTGACAGCAATGACAGCTGCTTCAAAAACTGATCCCTGATGAAACATCTATAATGAAGCTTTACTGCAACAACAAATTTTACTCTTCCTCTAGAGAGCTACAGAAATTTGGCCAAGTTTTAGCAGAATTCGAGCTTCGGGGAGAAAGGAAACCCCAAAGTGGATGCTAGAGCCACACTTCACTGCCACTTCACAGAGAGTTGTGTTCCAAAAGCACCCCACAAATACAAACCAACAATCACAGCAAGTCATGTCTGGGGAGGTAAAACTTAGTGTGCCCTCACCTTAAAGACAGGGAAGCAGCAGCAGATAGGTTGAACAATTTAGCACAAGTTGTTCAATAATTGAGTCAGAGAGCCTGGCTTGGAATCCAGAGATCTTGTCTCCTGCTCTCATCTTGATTTAACATCACCTTAATTATTTTGTTCTGTTGTTACAAAGAGCTGAGCATAGGAAATAGTCTAAATCCTTGTGCAATGCTGAAAAGAGCTTGATGGGATTTTGTTTCTTTTGCTGAGAATACCCAGGACAAGGAGCAAAAGGTTGAAAGTAGATGGGCCACCGAGTGCTCCTGGTTTGCTTTTACAGGTTGTTTTTCCTTATTTTTATTATTAATCAAGAACACTCTGAAGTTTCCTAAGGAAAAGGGTAATGGTGTCAAGAAAATTTAACATGTGTTTGAGATGAATTCAATGCAGGTCTATTACCTTCAGGTCAGCTTGTTTTTCACTTTCAAAGACAAGTTTACATCTCAGATTAAAGAAACTATTGAACCGCATACAAGGGGAGCTCTGTGCTGTACCTCGAGCCATATTAAAGCAGCTGAGAAGCACAGGAGTTTGATAATGTCTTAATGCACCACGGACATGGAATTTGATTCCATATATTGATCACTCCATACACAATTAGTGGAGTAAGTGCAAGTTTACGACTGGTGCAGCTCCTTACTCTTGTTTTTGTAGTGAATAAAACTGACTGAAGCTTAAGTGTGGGGAAGCAATCATGTTCCCTGACCTCAGAGGTGACATCCAGCTGCAGTAATGAAGCACAAAGGCTTTTAAAAATCATGCACAAGAGCAGTCCATTGTACTTATGCTGACTGGTCTCTCACCTATGATTTAAAATAGATGCTTAAAGAAACGTGATTTTAATTTTTTTTTAATTGAGGTTAACCTCCAGCTTGAAAAAATCAGAGGAAGAGGGGCTATACTTGCTTAATTTCAGCTCCAGATACTTCTATATTTGACAAGTAAAAATTGCAAAAAAAGTTTAAAATGTTTAAAGGCAATAATAAAGTTTTTCTTCCTGTTTTTTCAGCTGAAAGGTGGCAGATATTTATGTTGTATTCTAATTGCTGATTACTCAACAGACAGAGGTAATTGTCTTCCACCCCTGAGACTTTTGAAGGTGTTATTTTGACACATCCACACAGACCAACACCCACTCAGCACCTCAGGATGTGACTGTAAAATCAATTAATTCAACAGCTATTTCTGCAGCCTGAAGTGTAATTACCCATGAAATGTTGACGGTTTTCAGGATAGCAGAAATTCATCATTTATGCTTAACCTGGGCCATTCTTCCCTCCCTCCATCCAAGGAGCAGTGCTCAGAAGTGCAGACAGAAGTGGTGGATGCAGGTGAGCTGGTTCTCACTTACTCTGGACCAGTTCAGACATTGTTTTACCCCTTAGGAAGGTGTGGTGGAACATGGACACGTCTTCCAAACCCAGACTGAACTGATAACCAGATCCATACCAGTAAAGATGCTTCTTCCCTAAGTAATGCCTTCTCTTTTCCCACCTTCCACCTTTCCTCTGCTTCTCATCCCACTGCTGGAGGCTGTGCCTGTAGATGAGGAGCTTTTTGAGCAGTTTCTGTGGAGATCTGCAGGAAGCCATCTCCTGCCTCGATGAACACATGCTTGCACAGCATCAGCTCCACGACAGCAACTCACCACCTGCCAGACTTCAAGGACAAGCGATGGGGTGGGGGTTTCAAAAACCTCCTGCACCCCCTGCACAGAGCTACAGCAAGAAGTTTGCTCCAGTTATGGATGCTGGATATTAACAACAACTCTAAACACAATAATTAGTTCATTTATCTCCAACTTATATAGCCTTTGTGTAAAGGAGTATTTTACAGTTGAATAATTTTAATTTTTTTAGCTCTATGTAAAACAGGCATCATCAGTATAATCCTTAGAATCTAATAATGATTCCATCAGTGTAAAATCATTATCCTTAGGCAAGAAGGAAACCAATTCAATTATGATGTTGGTTGAAAAATCGAGGGTGAAAAGTTGTAGTACATATTAAACTTGAGGCTGGAAAAGTTGTAGTACATATTAAAATGGTTACTACAAAATTTGTGCATCCAGGCTAACAAATGCTAATATGTTCTTTTGTTACCTTCTAATTTATATGATTCATGTAAGCCTGCAGCAAGAGAAACTTGTTTTAAAATTCATCTACATTAAAAAATAGCAATGCAATGAATTGTAAAGTTATTAGCATTCATGTCTGGTTGTGTTATTAAGCTGTACACATCAAATCGCGTAGTACAAGTACAGAAATGTCATAATGAAGTAGAACAGCATTTAATCAGAGGAATTTCTAAAGGTCATCAGAGCATCATATAAATTCATCCATGCATGACAGCAATGTGAAATAAATAACTGAAAGAACACCATAAGAATAAACTTCAATCTTGGAGCTTTGTTTCCAATAGTAGAAGAATTAGCTGAGTTTCATGCTGAGGGAACAGCTAACAAAAAATACTGAATTCTGTAGCTTTAATTAATGAAAGACTAATAAGAGGCAGATAAGGAATTTTACACAAGGGAGCTAACGAGGTGTGTTCACTGATAGCTTCCTACAACAGCTGATCTCATACGTCTCCCTACAACTGAGAAGAAGCGTTCAGCTCTGTTTTTTCTTCCTCATTAGCCAGATGAGCCCTAAATGATTCCCTTTAAATAACCAACGATTTGTTAATATTTTTGCACTCATAAAAACTCTTTTGACTGCTTTAGGACATATATTATAGGCCTGATAGTTGGCAGCTCCAAACACTGGAGCTATTTTACCGTCCCACATCAGTGCAGTGCCAGCCTGTTTTCCTCGCCCGGCGCTGGGAAGCTCCAGCAGGGTCGGAGCAGATGCCGTGGTCACCCAGAGCCAGGCTCTGGTACCTGCAATCATGTTCAGCAGCACCTTGATCTGCACAAAACCTAATTGATTTCACTGGGAACCTTCCCAGAACAAAGTTCAGCTCTCGGTGATGAAAAGCGCCGGGATCTGGCTCGGAAGATGCATTCCCACAGTCCGGGGGGGTGATACATTGCAGCGGCACACAGGGGCGATGAGAGAGGATAAATAACTAATTCATCAAAGACTCTTTCTGAAGCCCTGCATGTATCAGTGGCTTTCACCTAATTAGTTGGCTTGGGGAGAAAACGAAACCCTGTGTTTTCAGCTGGTCTCCAGCCCCGGGCACCACCGGTGCTGGAGGGACACGGCAGGCGAGGAACCCTCCTTCTTTTCTTGAGTGGCCACTTCTGGGCAGGACCAGGAGCCCTGCACAGGGGAGCTCCTCCTTTATTCTGTTTGAACGGGATCCC